AGGTGGTGTGGATTCGCCTGGGATGGCGTGCTCGTAGTACATGGTGGCAAGAAAGATCGCGCAGAAATGTTCGGTTTTTGATAAGTGTTGGTGAATATTGATCATGTTTCGTTATGGTGAGAAGGAAATCGGGTCATCTCTGTTGCACAGGCCTCAATAAAGAGACGAAGGGTTATTTCACGACGACTTACCTGCCCTATTCTCAGCTAATTTCCATATATCCTCTCAAAACCATCTCTAATATCTTTCCCATTACCCTGCCGGCAGTAATGATCGTTATGGTGGTCCCTTTACTAGTGTAACACGAATCTATTTTCTTTGGCCCCACGTCTTTCAACTTTTCTTGACACCTTGCCAATTTCTGAAGTCGACATTGTCAGGTTTCCAGGGCTAGGGAGTCACTCCTTTCCCTTTACTTTTTTCTTTTTTATTTTCTCTTCCCTTGTTACTTTTCTACTCTCCGATATTCATCTTCTTCATTCTTGGTAACGAGTTTCCTCCAGGTTAAATTGCAACGCTATTAATAGTGCCGCAGGGCATCTTTAACGGAACCTATGGGATACCAGGCAATCTCATGTAGTCGTAAGTTTCCTATTCATGCGGGGCTCAGAATATGTAGACAATACTACAGGGAAATGTATGGAAAGTAAATATAAAACTAAATATGGAAACAAAAATTTTAAAAGAGTACACAAAATGGTCTCCGACTCAAGTTGAATATCCAAAAAGTAAAGAATGTGTTCAGATCGCAAACAGCGAGGAATTGGACATCAGACGTTAAGATAAGAAAACTAATTCCACTCAGCATTAAGAATGTATTGGCTGTTGAGGAGTTATTCTCGTATTTATCAATATACAATAAACTTCTCATAAATCAGAAAGTTCTGAAACCTGTGTTTACAAACAGTGCTCATCTGTACAAAGAACCTATGGCAGGGCTGTACGACGTAGGGCTGTTCCTAGAGGACACACATCAAAACCATCCATAAGTTCCAGAACCAAATATTCCTATGTGCATTCGATTTGGCACGGTACACGCAAACGGACCGCAGACGGACCGACTGCATTTGACCTAACATCACGACGATCGAATAAGTACAGACCATATTATTAGGTGTCTCTGAGATTATTTAGAAAACCGCTTTAATATCTGATTTTATGTAGTCGTTTCCTCTGGGGTGGCGTGCCTTCCTATTTATTTTTCGAATTCATTGTGAAACATTGCATTTTCGGGTTATTTCACAATATTAATAAAATTTACTGTATACTGAGAGAACTGCGAAAACGTATACTTGTAAAGCCAACTTCATAGAACACACTGACATGCTGAGACTGAGATAAATTATAACAATGAACGAAACTTTTCAGGAAATAATACTTGGGCTTCTTTGTCACTTTATTGCATTATTGGCGGTATTACAATTCTGAATAATTGTTGCTTCTTGTTAAGGAGCGTTTACACGGAGAGAGTTTTCTCTCCTAACTTTCCGGAACTGGTTAGGAGCACGTGTAAACTCTCAGGAGAGCGATCTCCTCTCCGAAGACATAACGTCACAAGAGATTTTCGCAGTCTCCGCAAGAGAGCAGTGTAAAGGCTCTGGAATCGATGAGGAATCGTATCTTCTGGGAGATAAATAGTATTCAAAGAGAGTTGGAAGACTTTTTGCTCTCTTGCAAGTGTTCACGTGCTCGATTAGCCATTCTGCGTCTGTCTGTGTCTGTGCGGTGTTTCAACGTGATATGTGGATTTCTGTTCTTTGTGGGAAATTATATACAGGGGAATTATAAATACAAATGACAAATTACTGTATCTCCTGCGGCCAAAAACCGCCGTACCGTCAAACCAAGTTTCTTTCCGAAATAAGTGCTTTTCCACTTTTCTTGCTTTTTGATTCCGTGAGATATTTCCTAATAAAAAAATCAAATCCTTCTGAA